ATATGATGGGAGATTCTAACCATAAACTAATGGAACAATATGAACACAACTTATATTTTTGTGGTTATTTTTCCTCTAGGAAGTCCACGTGGGGTTGTGTGTTATGTGTGTATTACACACTAAAGCCAGAGAAGAATATAAGCAATTTAAAAAACTATTCCTGTGTATTATCCTAATTATCAAGCTAGTTGTTTACTTGTTTCTATCTAAATTATGCTATTTGTAAAGGAACATCTGTTTGGATTTCCACAGATATGACTGATTTTAATAGTGCATTTCTTTTCCGGGATAGATGTGCAAATATGGTTATATGCCAATATCTCTAAGAAAACCCTCAATTAAATAAACTAAATACCTTGAGAAACAGCTGCAAAATAAGTGCATTTGCTAACTGCCCTTCTTGATGTTCATTCTGTTTTGTTTAGCATAATCAGTCTTGAACTTAATTAGGTGATAACGAAGTTAATACTTTCTTCTAAGGAATGGAAAATTGTGCTGCTGACGTGTCTTGCCGGCAACATGTGGCTGTGGCCCAGGACACACCCTTTTCCCAAAGGTGGTCCTGGGGCCCTTTTTCTGGAACCCTGATCCCAGGGATCAAGGGTTAAAGGCAACTGACTCAGCACTTTGTCTGCTACTGATAATTACAAGGAATTTACTTAAATATAAAACAAGTGTACCAACGTGTACATACAAGTAGGTCTATTGCAGTGTTAAAAACATTATTTTGAAATACACTTAAAAGGAAAAATAAACTTTAAAAAAAAAAAAAGCTCATTCTCATCTCTGGCCCGTTTCCCCTCTCCAAATGCGGCCAGTTTCTTGATTATCTTTCCCACACAGTGGTGTACCTTTTTGTCCACACAATGATATCTTCTTCTGTAACTTGCTTTTGCCCCTTAGTAATATTCTTTTAAGAGTTAACGTGACGAACATGGACTTTGACGTTGAACTGCCTAGACTGAAACCTGGCTCTGGCGCTTACTAGCTTTGACCTTGGGCAAAACCAAAACCAAACCCCTTGCCACAGAGTCGATTTTGACTCCTAGCAATCCTATAGGACAGAGTAGAACTGCCCCGTAGGGTTTCCAAGGAGTAACTGGTGGATTCGAACTGCCGAACTTCTGGTTAGCAGCCGAGCTCTTAACCACTACACCACTTGGTAAGTTACTTAAATTTGTATAATCAATAGTATCTGCTTCACATACATAAAACACTTTAAGTAGTGCCTGGCCCAGAGTTACCACTAGAATACTATTAGCCATTGTTTTTGACGATTGTCCTATGTCAGTGCCTGCAGAACGCTCTCCTTCTTATTCCTGAATAACCATTATTCCATTACGTATTAGATGTAGCACAGCGTGTTTAACCATCCCTCCAATGATGAACATTGCAGCTGTTTCTAGGCTTTGTTATTGCAGACCATGCTGCAGTGAATAACCATGTACACATATCATTTCATATATGTGTGAATATATCTATAGGAGAAATTTCTAGTTGTGGAATTAGTGGGTCAAAGGGAATTTGCATTTTGCATTTTGACAGATATTACTAAATTGCACTTCATAAAGATTGTAGCAGTTTACACTCGGACCAAAAATATTTGAGCAACATCCCTAATACAGATATCATCAAACATTTTTTTTAATTTTTGCCAAGCTGGTAGGTGAAAAAGGCATTTCATTTTAATTTTAAATTTCATTTATTTTATTGTGGAAAGTTGACTATTTTTCATCTATTTAAGAGTCATTTTTTCTGTGATGGCTTTTTTATTATTGATTTGTAAGAGCTGTTTATATAAAAAAGAAAATTAGTACTTTTTTGTGTGTTATAAATATATTCAAAAAAATTTGCTTACCTTTCCATTTTATAGTATTTCTCATCCTTTTTACTGATTCTTCAATAGGAAATTCATTAAATATTTAATGGTATACTTTCAGCTATGTAAAACATGTCTGCATTTACTGACATAGAAAAATCGCTGTGGTATATATAATGAAAAATATACTGAGAGTATAATATTCCCTTTTTTGAAAAAAAGTATATACTCGTGTGCATTTGTGTACCTGTGTTTACATAGTAAAAGGTTCAGAAGTCAAAATGTTAATAGTAATTTTCTCTGGGATTTGAGATTATGATTCATTTAAATTTTATTTCATTGTTTTGCAATGGGCATATATTACTTCTTTTTTGGAAAATATTAAGCTATTTGCAGTCAAGGCATAAATACCAGCAAATAACAGTGATCTTAGTTCTACTTGGGTTTGTTTCTTAGCTAGGCAATAAAATATAAATAACTGCATAACCCCCAACCAATCCTTTGAACACACAGCTAACAGGTTAAAGTAGTGGACATTATGTTATTTTCTTTGTAACTTGAAAAAGTCACTAACCAGTGCAAACTTAAAAATAAGTAAATTAAAATTTTATCACTTAAATTTCTGGTCAAATTTTACAACATCCACTGGTGGTGCAGTGGTTAAGCACTCAGCTGCTAACCACAAGGTTGATGGTTCAAACCTACCAGCCGCTCCACAGGAGAACAATGTGGCAGTCTGCTTCTGTAAAGATCACAGCCTTGGAAACCCTGTGGGGCAGTTCTACTCTGTTCTGTAAGGTTGCAATGAGTCAGAATCGACTTGACGGCAAAGAATTTGGTTTTGGTTTTATTATTTACAAAAAAAGAAAAGATTCTTTAGATGTTGTAATGCTTTAAACTGAAACAGTTGAAACATTTAAACTAATTTTATTTTTTAAAGAAGTATTTTGGAATCAGAAGTAAATTTTTTTTTAGTAGGTAGCTTGTATAGGGATGCTGAATCTGTTTTTCCCTTAGCTACTGTACCAACTTTGTAGCATTTCCTTTTATTACATTGTGAAAGAATTCTTCCTGGTTAAACACACACACACACACACACAGTGCTCACAGAGCAGCTCCACAGAGGAAAAGCGATTGTAGCCTCATTTATCATGTTTTAAACTAGAGTTTTACATATCTGTGCAAAAGGATTATTTGAAACTTTTATTAGGATGCCTCAGTTTTGTTAGCATGTCTTGTTAGCAGACACTGTCTGGCAGAATGATATTTGTGTGCATTCCACAGGGACTTAAGATAATCCTTGTTTTTTTAAAAAAATCACAGGTTAACTGTAATAACCTTATATATCTTAGTCTTAACTAAAATACTTGAGGTGCTTCAAAAGCTGACCTGGGGAGACATTTAAAGTCCATGTAAATGTTTTGGTCCTAAATACTGGTTTAATTAAATATTGGAGTAAGGGTAGGAAATTATGTGTGTGTGTGTGTGTGTGTGTGTGTGTGTGGTGTTTTTGTTCAAGTACATGAGTCAAGGACCTGTTTCTCTGCAGTTTTTGCTGTATTCTTAGAACATCACTCATTTATTCAAGAAATAGCCTTAAACACCTACCATATGCCAGCCACTGTAACGGGGTACCTTTGGGGAAAAGTTGGCTCTGACTTCAAGGAGTTCACAGTCTCCTGAAGAAGAGCAATGTGTAAACCACTGTAGCACATGGTGAGTAGGGGTCAAGCCGTTTGAAACTCAAACCATTATTTTGCCACACACTAGCTGGGTGACACCTTAGGTGACTTAACTTTCCAAAGCAAAACAGGTATAACAATAGTGTTGACGTCAAAGGCCACTGAAAATTGTAAAGGCACCAACCCCAACCACTCATGTTCCATGTAGAGCATTTAGGACAGAGCCTGGCACATAACAAGGGTACGAAAGTCACCTGTTAGATCCTATGGGAGCTCCGTGGGGTCTTGGTAGAGGAGAAGATGCTTAAAAGTAGGAAGGCATCCCAAATGTTATAATGCTGTCTTATACAAATCAAGCATAAGAAAGAGATGATAGTTGGACTTGTAATTGAAACGTAAGTGGGGTTCCTACCAACATAGACACACGTATTCAGCTTTCCAATCACATTTTTCTTACGGACCAATCAGTGTTGAAAAGCACAGTGTGCTTTTCAGGTTGGCTGCTGTGAGCCAGCCCGAGGGGAATGATTTCACTGTCATTTGTCTGTGGGTTGAGTTTCAAAATAGTACTTGCAAATTTCTGTCTCTTAAGAAGCAGTATCCTCGACTTTGCTGCTGCTTAAACTTTATTGTTATTATTACAGTTTCCCTAACAACAGAAGGAAACAAACTTTGTAGCCCTAGGGATCTGAGGACGTAATCAGAGTGGCCTGTCGAGAGTGGAAATTTTTATTGACATTTTGTGTTCACGTATCAGTAGAAAAAAAAATATATATATGTAATGTTACAGACTTGTTTTAATATTAAGAAGTTTTAAACTACCTACCTCCAAATGAAGTTGTAGCCCCAGGAAGATGTGGAGGAATTTTCACTTAAGCCCAGAACACCTGTGCATATGCCTAGGTTTGGCTACATCAGGGTGAGAAGTATAGGAAATTGAGGCTGTTTTTTTAAAGAATCTGTTTTCCAAAATTTCAAAAAAAAAAAAAAAAAAAAACAAGGCAGAAGGAGGAGGAAATAAATAACCATCTGCTTTATTGCCCAGAGGTTAACTTTCCACATAGAAAATTCTTCCTGGCAACTTAGGGTCAGTTATAGCAAACCCCCCAGCCATCTTGGCCTGGGGTTTTGGACAACACCCGTACATTGGTGAGGCTCAGGAGGTGGTGAATATATGTATGTTTGAGTATGTCCGCGTATATGATCGTATGCCATAGGAAACAGTCATTGCTTTGGATTACTAGTTATTGTGTGTCCTTGGCATAACTTCTACCTTCTGTAAGTAAAACAGGAGTGTTTTCTGTAAACACTAAACCATAGAATTTTAGACATGCATAGAAATAAGGCGTATTTTGCTCCTTTCAAAATCTAGATTTATTTACAAATGGCTGTCAAGTCTGCAGTTTCTTAACACAAAGAAGTAAAACTCCTGTCCATGCTGTTTGTGCTAGAAAGGGATGTCGGCATGTACACACACAGCCCTGCTTTTCCCATTCCAGGTGGACAATATCTGACAGTCTCAGCAGCCAAAGGCCCAGGGGGAAAAGCTGCTCGCTTGGTACTACCTCTCGGCCACCTCATGCATTCAGGGGACCTGTGCCTGTCGTTCAGGCACAAGGTGACTGGGCTGCGCTCCAGCACACTCCAGGTGTTTGTGAGAAAACACGGTGCCCATGGAACAGCCCTCTGGGGAAGAACTGGTGGCCATGGCTGGAGGCAAACCCAGATCACCTTGCGAGGGGCAGACGTCAAGAGCGTAAGTAGAACCGCAAAGAAGGCAGAGCCTGGCAGTTTTCTTTTCATAGGAGAGCTCTGGGGTCTGAACTTGAAGAAGACTTGTCTCTTCATTAATTCAGACTCAGACAAAAGTTTGGGTTTTTTTTCTCCCTGTGTATGATGACTTCATTCTTTGCTGCTTTCTGTAATTTTTTTCTGCTTCTTCATCCTTCTTCATTGCAATCTATGGCTACCCCCACCCCCACCCTGGCAAGGCCTCCTTTTTCTTAATGGAAAAAAAAATTTAGGAATAGAATGAGTTAAAAAAAAAAATCAACAAATATTTCAAAGGTCAGGGGTGATGAGCTTAACCGTATCTGCTTTTCCTTCTTCAATTCCTTATATTTCAAACTTTTACTGCCATGAATTACCCTGGAAGTGTTTCATTTTTCTTTTTTGAATTGTATGTTTAAAGTTCAGTTTTCTTTTCCTCCATCTCCAGAGATCATAGTTAAGCAGCCTTGAATGGAAACACAGAACAATAACCCTTGGAAAGCACTATTCTATTCAGGACAGGGTGTGGAAAAAGCTTTGATTGACTATATAAATTTTATTCTAAGTGATCAAGTAGCAAGAGAAATGGTCTGTGATACCCTACCAAGGTCATGACTGTATTTGGAGAAAAGGTCATCGTTATGTTGATGTTTATACAACTTTTGCCGTTAGAAGATTCTGCATCTATGCTAATAAGATTAGTTTGTAGAAACTATGTTAGAAAGAATATAGTCTGCATTAATACAATCTGTAATAGTGGTATTTGGATTTTGTTTTACTCTCTGATATTTTTTCCTAAATTTCTGCATAATATTTATATTACTTGGAGAAATAAAGCAAGATAATAAATTGTTTTATGCTGCAGCACTGACAAGTTTCTCCCGTTTTTAAAGGACCAGGGATGCTCTATAGAAGGTAAAATACTAGAAGAGTGAAAGTTTGTGCTCTTCACATAGATAAAAATAACATCGTGATTGGATTATGGAGTTCGATTTTTTTTTTCAATTTTAGACTACAAGGCTATATTAACCTAAAGGGGAGCTAAGAAACATCTAAAATAGGCTGCATAATTATGATCTTCCAGATCTTTGGCTCTTAATTTCTGCACTTTTATATTCCATCACACTCTTCTGACTTCTAAACTTGGTAATCTTTGACAAAAGTGTCCACTTCATAAGCATTCTTAAATTGAAGGAGTCTGTAGTTTAGAATGTCTTTAATTTAAAGAGTAACTGATTCTGAGTAATGTGGGCTGATCAACAGCTTACTGGTGATTCAAGTTTCTACCAAAAGGCAGGCCCTTCTTTTTTAGGTGACACTGGTGGCTATGTTTGAGTCTTTTCTTCTGTTATAGAAGTTTAATATTTAGCTGTTAAAGAAGGCTTGCTAAATGAGTGGGCATTGGAAAGGGACAGAGGATGCTTGACTGGTGTATGCGTTCTCTCCCTAGGTCATCTTCAAAGGTGAAAAAAGGCGTGGTCACACTGGGGAGATTGGATTGGATGATGTGAGCTTGAAAAAAGGTCACTGCTCTGAAGAACTCTAGCAACTCCAGAACTAGCCATGAACTTCTGTGTTGCTCTCTCTTCTTTTTCCAATTCTCACCTCCTCTCCTCTCCTCCCTTTTATCAGGCTTAGAAGAAGAGTATGTCAGTGGGTCAGGCGAAAGTCTGGTTGGTGACCCGCTTCTTGCTGGCCTGTTTTTGTGCAATTCCAATGAACAGTGAAACCCTCCTTGAAATATAAGGGGCATCCCAGCCATCATTTGGTGTTACTTTCCATCCTGTGTCACTAGTAGAGAGGCCTTCTGCATGTGTGAGCCACACCACTCTTCGTCCTGGTTAGAAGGTGCTCCTTACAGCAAATTATGGGAGAAGTTTTCAAAAGAAATCCTTGGTGCAAATGGCCATCTTGTTATCTGTTCAGTGTTGTACCACGAGTAGTATTGATTCCCCTGAGATATGATATACAATGTGCTTGTGAAATTGGTTTGTCCTCTTCATTTAAGTTAGCTCTGGCTTGGACCTGAACTTTTACTGCCATTTACTTTATAAAAGAAGGGTGTGTAACATACCAAGATGCATTTATTCTTACCTTGTTATCTGTATTTTTATTTTAAAGACAATTATGTAGAGCGGGCACGGAATCCCTTGTTAGTAGTGTTTTGTGTTTTGTGCTATTGATATTAAGTATTTACATGTTCTTAATATTTGCAGACTCTAGTTGCAAGGTAAAAGGCAGCTTGTGATCTCTCGAGTTAAAAAATACATAGTAAAATGTCATCCAGTTTTATGACCTTACACTGGCAGCAAGAGAAAATTGGAAGAGGAGTCAGGTTGTGGGAGTGGAGTGATATATATGTATGTTTGTTTTAATGGTCTTGAATTTGGTCTCTACAAAGGATAGTAAACCATTCAGGTAGGTAAGAAACCATAGTTAACATATACACCCCTCCTTGTTTCAAGTTATAATTTCAAACCAACAGCTTTTACCGTAATTAAATGGCACTCTCTGTTAATATTTAAGAAAGTGTAAAAATTCTGGTTGTTTTACAGAAGTGATTCTGTTTTGTTTATGGAAGCAGGGCAAGGGGAACCATGGGGGAGGCTCCACTGGAACAGATTTTCATGCTAATTTTTATCAATATAAATTTAGGCAGGTCTAGTTCATAACTTATATGCTGTCATATCAGGATGGGAGAAGTAAATCCTGTGCTTTGAGGCAGTGGATGTTGGAATGGGATTCACACGCATTACTGGAGCAGGACAAGATTGGAGTTCTAAGGTCCATGAACCCTCAACTATATTTCCTCCCTGCATATTTTACCTTTATTAAAAAAAAAATACATAACTTTTTAAAGGCAACTTACTCCTGAAGCTTTTTTTTTTCTTTCATTTCTGCTCAAGTAATCAAAATATTTTCTGCTGTTTTTGCCAGGAATCACAAAGATGATTAAAGGGTTGGAAAAAAAGATCTATGATGAAAAATTAAAAGCACTGGGATTATTCAGCCTGGAGAAGAGAAGACTGAGGGTCAAACCATTGATGGTTTTCAAGTATATGAAGGGTTGGTACAGAGAGGATGGTGACCAGCTGTTCTCCATATGTACTAAGAATAGAACAAGAGGAAACAGGCTTAGGCTGGAGTATGAGGGAGCATTTCCTGGCAGGGACAGTTGTTAAAGTAGAATTCTTTATAAAAAGAGTGTGCATTTTGTGGTATTTTTTGAGGCTTCTTAAAAATGAGATACAAATTTATTTAAGGTGGTTAAAGATGTTCTTACCTCAAAGCAAAATAATGGATTACAGAATCTCCCAAAAATATTTTGATCCTAATAATTAATTGAATAGTAATTCAATGAAAATCTTAACAAGAAAGTAATTTGGACTAGGCTAAGATCTGATTTAGGCATTTCCCTATAGGAATCCTAATGATAAATCATAGAGAGGGGTCAAAGGGGAAGAGCCCACCAAATGGTGAACTCACCAAAATGGCTCTACCTTTATGGCAAACCTAGCAGTATTAAAACAAAAAGAAAGAAACTATTTATTCCAAAAGAGAGTATCATGGATATTTTAATATCTCAGTAATGTCCTAATGTGATGGTGGCCCCTAACCCAGTAAAGGTTTAATTAAACCTTTAACTTGCTCACTGGATAATGTTTCAGTTTTTCAAGGAGACCTTGGCAAGGGACACAGTTCAGAGATTTTTTTTTTCTGGTGCATTCTCTCAGCTATGTATGTGAGAAATTAATTTGGCTACTGAAAAAATGCCATGTCCAGGACTTTTCTTCACCTAGTCAGTATAATTCAGTTTCTTTTATCAATTGAAATCTCTTAATTTCCACAAAACCATGATTTGTGTGTGTGTGTGTGTGTGTGTGTGTGTGTGTGTGAACAATATACAATAGAATGTCTTTCATAATTTAACTTGGTGGGGGAGGAGGTGGTTAGAGGGGAAATAAAAATCATTGAGCCTTTGAGTAGGGGCCAGAAAATATGGCCTAAGGTCCATTTTTTAATGATCAGTTTCCTTTTTGGTCATATAACTGCACAGCTGAAGAAGAAAGGGGAAATAATTGAAAATTTCACTTTTAGGTGCCAATATTACATTGCACTAAGATGATGGAAGACGTTATCCAAAGTACTGTATAACATCTTGTTTATTATTTAATGTTTTATAAAGTGAAAAATGTTAATGGTTTTCCAAAACAGCCAAATAAAAATAATTTCTTTGTAAATTAAAAACACTGTTAATAATACCAGCTGTTTCTTGTTGTTTTGAGTTTTATTTTTTCGTGATTGGGAGAAGAGGATTGGGGTAGTTCACTGACGGTTTTCACAAAAACCATCTATTGTAGAATGGCCTTTACAGCTTAGAGACTGCAGACTATATTATTGTGCTTTCTAGATTATCAAATACGAGACAGTTTTCGTCAGCATCCACAGGAAAAGAGGTCTGAAGATCACTGTAAGCCACGTCTTAGTTAGCAGGTCGCTTTATGTTTTATTATACAGACATACCTCAGAGATATTGCAAGTTCAGTTCCAGATCACCACAATAAAGCAAATATGGCAATAAAGTGAGTCACACAATTTTTTTTTTTTGGTTTCCCGGTGCCTGTAAAATTTACGCTTACACTATACGGTAGCCTATTAAGTGTACAGTAGCATTGTGTCTAAAAAAAATGTACATACCTTAATTAAAACTACTTTATTGCTAAAAAAATGCTAACCATCCTCTGAGCTTTCAGCGAGTCGTAATTTTGCTGGAGGAGGGTCTTGCCTCTATGTTGATGGTTGCCGACTAATCAGGGTCGTGGTTGCTGAAGGCTGGAGTTGCTGTGGAAATTTCTTGAAATAAGACAACAATAAAACTTGCTGCATCAACTGACTTTTACAAAAGATGCAGTGCTGTTTGATAGTATTTTACCCACAGTAGAACTTCTTTCAAAATTGGTGTCAATCGTCTTAAACCCTTCTGCTGCTTTATCAACTAAGTTTATGTAATATTCTAAATCCTTTGTGGTCATTTCAACAATGTTCACAGCATCTTTACCAGGAGTAGATTCCATCTCAAGAGACCACTTTCTTTGCTCATCCATAAGAAGCAATTCCTCATCTGTTAAAGTTTTATCATGAGATTGCAGCAATTCAGTCACATCTTCAGGCTCCATTTCTGGTTCTCTTGCTATTTCCACCACATCTGCAGTAACTACCTCCACTGAAGTCTAGAACCCCTCAAAGTCATCCATGAAGATTGGAATCAACTTCTTCCAAAGACTCCTGTTAATGTTGATATTCTCACCTCTTCACATGAATCATGAATGTTCTTAATGGCATCTAGAATGGTGAATCCTTTCCAGAAGATTTTCAATTTACTTTGCCCAGATCCATCAGAGGAATCAGTATCTATGGCAGCTATAGCTTTATGAAATGTATTCCTTAAATAATAAGACTTGAAAGTTGAAATTACTCCTTGATCCATGGGCTGCAGAATGGATGTTGTGTTAGTAGGCATGAAAACAACATTAATCTCCTCGTGTATCTCCATCAGAGCTCTTGGGTGACCAGGTGCATTATCAATGAGCAGTAATATTTTGAAAGGAATCTATTTTTTCTGAGCAGTACATCTCAGCAGTGGGCTTAAAATATTCACTAAACCATGTTGTAAACAGATGGGCTGTCATCCAGGCTTTGTTGTTCCATTTATAGAGTACAGGCCGGGTAGATTTAGCACACTTCTTAAGGGTCCTAGGATTTTTGGAACGGTAAATGAGCGTCGGCTTTAATTTAAAGTCACCTTCTGCATTAGCCACTAACAAGAGAGTCAGCCTGTCCTTTGAAGCTTTGAAGCCAGGCATTGACTTCTCCTCTCTAGCTATGAAATCCCTAGATGGCATTTTCCTCCAACATAAGGCAGTTTTGTCTACATTAAAAATCTGTTGTTTAGTGTAGCCGCTTTCATCAATTAGCTAGATCTTCAGGATAACTCACTGCAGCTTCTACATCAGCACTTGCTGCTTCACCTTGCCCTTTCATGTTATGGAGATGGCTTCTTTCCTTAAACCTCATGAAACAAGCTTGGCTAGTTTCAAACTTTTCTTCTGCAGCTTCCTCACCTCTCTCAGCCTTCACAGAATTGAGGAGAGTTAGAGCCTTGCTCTGGATTAGGCTTTGGCTTAGGGAATGTTGTGGCCAGTTTGATCTTCTATCCAGACCACTAAAACTTTCTCCTTATCGTCAATAAGGCTGTTTTGCTTTTCTTATCGTTCGTGTGTTCACTGGAGTAGCATTTTTAATTTCCTGCAAGAACTTTTCCTTTTCATTCACAACTTGGCTAACTGGCAGAAGAGGCCTAGCTTTTGACATGTCTTCCTCACTAAGCTTGATCATTTCTAGCTTTTGATTTAAAGTGGGAGACGTGCCACTATTCCTTACACTTGAACACTTAGAGGCCATTGTAGGGTTATTAATTGGCCTAATTTCAATGTTGTCGTGTCTCGGGAATAGGGAGGCCTGAGGAGAGGGAGATGGAGTGGGGAATGGCCGGTCAGTGGAGCAGTTAGAACACACACATTTATCAATTAAGTTTGCCGTCTTGTATGGGCACAGTTCGTGGTGCCCCAAAACAATTACAATAGTAACATCAAAGATCACTGATCACAGATCACCATAACAGATATAACAATAATGAATAAGTTTGAAATGGGAGAATTACCAAAATGTGACACACAGACACGACGTGAGCCCGTGCTCTTGAAAAAATGGTGCTGATAGACTTGTTCGACCCAGGTTGCCACAAACCTTCAATTTATAAAAAAGGCAATATCTGCAAAATGCAATAAAATGAAGCACAATAAAACGAAGTATACTTGTGTATCATTTAGTCGTAAATATTTGCCTCAAGTCCTTTGATGGAAAGACAAGATGAGCTGTAAGTAAATACATGAATAAATATGAATTACGAGTGAAAAATAAGTCTTTTTATTGAGGTTGATTTTGT